CGTGCAACAGATGCTCTAGCGCATACTGCACAAAATGCGGCCAAGGTACTGACGTAAAGCATTTACCTTTGTATGCCCGTATAATTCAGCGGTGCCAAGGCATCAGACTGGAGTATTTTATAGGGCAATTAGTCGTCTCCTGACCCATAAGCACTTGAACGCAGTAGTCCACTTGTGCATTCGTGTGCAAATTGAGCCGAAACCACAGCAGCTTGTGTGACCCTTTCGACGGCAACTTTCACGACCACAATATACGACCGAAAATACATGCCTTGATGTGGTAACCAACTGCACAAAATGGTGCTGGTTCGACAAAGATTTGCAAGTGCACGATTTTGTACTAAAATTCATCGCGACCCGATGAAAACGCAGACCAGCAAGCAACCAAAAAGATAAAACATTGCTTTCTTTTTCTCGAATCATGCCGGCATTGCGCAAACGTTTGACTTGATGGGGACGAGATGCAATGTCTCCGTCATTTTGCGGAGATTGCCCACCGACATCATGATGGATGACAGAATTTTCCGACTTATTTCTGTCGAAGATTAGCTGGGATTTGCATGCCTGATACGGGAACAAGCTCGCTCGGCTTTCAAGTAGAACGGTATAAATTAATGGCATACCATCCGTTCCCCTTGATTTTGTTGATCACCATTTGGCTTTTCGCATTAACAAGTATATCGCAATAGAAATTTTGGTAAGACATCTCCGTTTTTGGTTCTGTACGGAAAACAAACAAGCAAAGTGAAGACATTCAATGAACCACAATAAAGTCCAATGTTCTGATTTTGTGTAATAACGGTAGCGTTGCACCAATCTAATGTTGGTTACTTTGCTGTCCAAAACAAACATCGCTGAGATGCTTTGACCGTGATAATGATTCGGATCTCCCACTAGCAATCATGCACTCGAACTGCCTACTAATTGAAACTACCAACGGGTTAACGATTAGACATTCGGTTCCGCATATATTGTTAGTAATTGTGAACCGTGTTAAGAAGCGAGGCTAAGCGTGATAAGAGTGCAAGTCGTGAAATAGTTCGTCGGAATCCATGTTGTTTGGTGCGAATGTGTTCGACTAGCCAAACTTACAATACCATAGGTTCAACTGATTTGCGTCACTCCCCAGAGAGCACAACCTACAATCGATTAGACAAGAGTGAAATTCATTTTGTACTTATGCAACTAGGGACGCGCGTGCAGCACCTTGATAAAGCCTAGGCAGTACGACTACAGCTCTACTGTCAGGTATTTCCAAATTTCTTTTGTCGCCACGTGTCAGCAGAGTTTACTAGCACTATATCTCTTGATCCTTAGACATGTGTCTATCGGTAGGTCACAAGAACAGCACTTAAATTATTGCGGACTACATCTTAGGAAGAGACAACTGTGTGAGAATGGATATCAGACAATATTGTATAACCACCATCCAGGTGTTTTACCAATGACTTGAAGTATAAGTTTAGTGTGCCAGACGACTTGTTGGTTAGTTCAACGGAAGCAATACTTCTATCCGCAGTGTAGAGTTTCGGAGCGGCTCTCTCCCCTCATTGCACTCCATGACCGACCGGTTTCGTGCCGATGCGATCCCATTGATCCAAATGGATGGGGTCTCCTTCAAAGCATACCGTGGCTTCGTGTGAGGTTGAGTATGGTAATCCAGACACAAGACCGGTATTCCACTACCCAACAATGTACTTCTGAACGGTGTGTCAAGCGCTACTCGCGGAGCTCTGACTTATGGACGACGGCGTAAGCGAATAACCACTAAGTATCGGGTTCCACTTCCGATTCAGTTTCTCTCCACCTGACGAGTCCACATCAGGACTAAACTGGCCGGTCTTTGAGTGCAGTACTGCGAGCGATCAGCTACGAAACTGCCCAATTAGTGTGTGGTTCCGTTATTTACATGGGTGAGGTTTGCTTAAAAGCAAACCGTGGCCTCAATGGAGATAGTGTGTAGTCATCCAACACATGGCGAATTCTCTAAGACCAAACACTGAAATTCGCTTTTTACTTTCCAAGCCTCAGAAGATTGCAATTTACAAAATAATTTCTACAATAAGGAATATATGGGGAAAACGAATTGACCACCACGAGCATCTAACAGAGACATTTAATGGTGCTTATTGATGACTCGGACCAAACTAGTAATTAGCAATAGTCATTGTGACAGTGTGCATAAGACCATACTCAGATGCGTCACTAGGCTACATCAGGCTACGAATGATCCTCTAGAGTCACGTGCAGCGCAATTACTTCTAAAAGGAGGAAAGTACGCAGTATTCTGTGATTTTGGAAGAACAAGTTGAGCTTATTCTGCTTCCATTTTCTACTTACGACGAATGTTCTGGTGCAGGGCGGCGAACGGTAACGGCGTCTGCGAAGAAGCTATCTATTGCGTTATCAGAACCTGAAGGTTCCAACTTTGTCTCATGAAAATTATCCACAAACTGTCATACGGACTCACAACAAGGTCGGTAACAAACACTATTCGGATGGATAGCCGAAGCAGTTGTTTCGCTTTTCGAGTGTATCAGCTTTGTAATGCCTTTACAATTCACGCCATTTCTGCCCTTGATTTGTCAGTAAACAGTAAACACATTGAAGCAGCAGTACACGTTTGCATTAAAGCATAACATAACAAAGAAGCAAACCGTGTTATCATCAGGCTTCCATATAATCGAGACAGATGTACCTAGATCTGGGGAATATAGAAAGTAGCAGTTTATTTTAATGACCTCATCTAATCTACCTCTGATCATCTTGCAGGCCTTGTCAAGCACTTAATTAGTCGACCGGTACGGATCAGTGTATTATTGCAACCTTTGGTAAGGATTACAACTCGTTACTGAATTAATAATGGTGTGGCCTTTTTAATGTGAGCGGATTGGGAGACTGAATAGGACTTGAATGCCACACACTGTATTAACGAATTTCAGTTACGTTACAAATATTATAACATCCGCTTCACGACTTAGGGTATTCCCCAGAAACCGATTGGTAACATTTCAGAAACTAAGAAAATACTCTGGAATCTCTGGTAACTGGGTACACGAGCCTAGCAGCGTCGACGTTTAAAAAGACACATTAGGAACGTGTTTTTCGCCGATCGTCGTCTAATAAACTCAATTTACAGCAATATAGTTTATATCGACAACAAATAATGAGCAAGCCCACCACCAAGCAGCTTTCATGACAACCAGTATGGTAGAGATTGAAGTATATGTTGGAGTTTGAACTCCCCAAAGGCATCGTGTTATTCGCCTAAGCAGATCCACGAAACCACCCTGTGAAGTCAACAGGTGTCGTGGGGCAGGAAGTCCCATGAACGTTTCCTGGATTGGCAGTTTACTCGACTCCGCTGGTGTTAAGCACTGTTCTTTGTATGACTGATACGTTTCCCACACGGATTTCCTACAAAAGAGTTCGCAAATCCCCCGTATACTCCTGAATTTCGCCGAATGTATCGAGATTGGTTTAACTTCTCTCTATTAGTGAACCGTTGGTGTTTTCAGCAGATATACCAGACCGATCGCCGCGCAGAAAGAAGGTAAGCTCCTAAGCTGATATTACGATAATATGTTAAACATCCTATTTAAACATTTTCGTATGTAGTTCATACACTTCTCGATTCAACCACTAGTAAATGCATGCAACGTATCCTTCTATCGACTGTACTATGCCCTTTCTTTATTTGATTGTAGATTTTGATGATCTAACTTCGTGTACCAATACGGCAACACTCTTGCTGTCTAGTTAGTAGAGAAGCAGCTTAGTTATCGATGTTATGTAGTTGCGCGGACACAAATCCTTTTGTGCCTGCTGAGCCGATAACATAGCGTACGCTACACAGGTTCACGTAAAGTAGCCTAAGAAGGTAAGGTTCACCTCCCTCCGCCCAGCAATATTTAGTGCAAGCTAGCGTACCATTAGATTTCACTATACATGGACGAGGGGGCGCATACAAGCAATTGCCAGAACCAACACAGTTAGCCCAATGATTTCCCTAACAGCCGGTAGTCCGCCAGGTCGGTGGTTTTATCTTATGCATTAGGTGCCAATCCACGCACCTGAGCAGTATATAAGATAGCAGCGTAGAATCGAGTATGCGCATACACCAAGAATTCGACCGTCTGAACTCGCGTGGGTTTGTCCATATCGCTGCTAGAAAATCATTACGAGTAGCACGGGTTTGAATATTTTCGCTGAAACTCATACCTCTAACGATATGCTGTAAAGGGGTTGTTTTTCTACTCTGCCTTGATAACCGATAGGCATGATATCCACCCTGATATAATGAATATCACCAGTATAATATAGCACAATTCATGTTCTTAATAAAGCACAATAAATTGGCTGCATTTTGTAAAGTGCTGTTCGCATACCAACTTAGCGAGAAACAGCTGTTGATTAGAACAATGGTGGAATATTCTGCTCATTTGATACAGTGTAGTCAGCATTGTGATTGATCTCAGTTGTTTTAACCTTTACTCCAAAGATTCCACTTGCGATCAGACACAATTGCATCCGGACTTGTGCTACCACAATTGCGGGAGAGATTCGCGGTCTATCTGTGGGTGAGATTTC